AGTAGCCCTTTTATATACAAATAATAGACTCACTGAGAGAGAAATTAGGGAAACAATTCCTTTTACAATAGCATCCAAAAAATGAAATATCTAGGAATCAATCTAACAAAGGAAGCAAAAGACCTCTACAATGAAAACTATAGCACTCTGAAGAGGAGAATGAGGAGGATGTAAGAAAATGGAAAGACATCCCTTGTTCCTCGATAGGAAGAACCAATCCAGTGTATATCTGATACCTTTGACATGAAATAGTTCCAAATAGTTGGTGGATTCTAAGATGTTCTGCTTGTGTACTAACAATAAGTGGGGCCAGGGATTTAGCTCAGTGGTTCCGGTGCCTGCCTTGCAAGCGCAAGGTCCCAAGTTAGATTCCCGGTACAAAAAAAACAAACCACAAACAATAAGACAAGTAGAGAAGGAAAAAAACCCAGGAGTGATCAAGAGTTTAGTTTAACTCACAGACTATTTCTGAGTTTCCAAGAAATGATGTCTCAGCATAATAAAGAATCACGAAGAGACAGAAGTGTGGCCCAATGGCAGAGCACTTCCCCAGCATCACCAAAACAAACAAACCACATGAGGCAACGCTGACAGGAAATACTCCATTAAGTACTAAATTAAGTATTAAATACTCCAATTTAATAGGCATTATCATCTTTAAAAGGATCTGTTTGTGACCCAATAAGGTACTATTTGGTAAATTATGCTCTAGGACAAAACATCATAAATTAATGTTTCTTCAAAAACTACCTTACCACACTGAGTGAATTCTAGACTTCTGGCATCACTTGGCCCAATGATGTGAAGGATACAATAAAACTGAATAAAGCAGAAGAGATTCAAAAAGCTCCAAAGACATTCAGGCTTCCCCTTACCATGCAGATTGCAAAGATACTCCCGCATTTTCATGACCATCTGGGACCTGAGTCGCAGGTTGTACTGCATTTGGACGCTACGCAAGTCCAAGTACCGATACTGCAAACGAAGAGCCTCTGTTTTCTAAGCAAATTAAAAAATGTTTATGTATAAATATTTTTGAATATTAGAAAGGTGTTATCTTTAGATATAGAATTTGAATTTTCAAAAACTTTAGCTTCCACTATCAAGGAACACAGTGCACTGTTTGCATTCGTGTATACCCTGCCACCTTAATTCCTGCAGCTTCAAATACAGATGTTACATTTCTTTTTTTACCATTTCTTAGGGCTAATACACCTTTCACTGATTGACATTTATTTACTTTATTTAACATTTATCTTTTAAGCCCACAGTTGAGTTGTGCAAAACAAAAAAGGTAAAGATTTCAGGGATCTTGTAAAGAGATACGCAAAGTGAAAAACAGCTGAGTTTATTACCTGAAGGGCACTGACTACAAGTGAAAGGACTGAAGGGGAGGGTGGTTAGGCTGGCCATAGCTGTACGAGCAGGAAAACAGTGACGATTGCTTTTTTTACGGCTGTGAATCCCTGCATCTCTCTCTGTGCTGAGAACTTTTAAGGATAGGCATAACATGTATGAGGCCCTAGGCTCGATCCCTGGCAAAACCAAAAAAAAAGTATACAGTATGTAAGTCTGTAATTGTGACAAAGCTGAAAATCATCTGGGTGTATGTACCCAGTGCTGTCAAGCTCCATCAATCCCTCAAGCTTCGATAAAGAACATCCTAAATTAGCTGGGCATGGTGGTGCACTCCTGTAATCCTAGTACTCGGGAGGCTGAGGCAGGAGGATTGCCATGAGTTTGAGTTTGAGCCCAGCCTTGGCTACATAATGAGTTCAAGGCCAGCCTGAACGACACAGTAAGACCCTGTTTAAAAAAATGAAAAACACAGAACACATCCTAAATTATAGTAATTAAATTTGTTTTTTTTAAAAAAGAAGGGAAACCCATATTTATTTCCTAGCACTGTTAAAACACTACACAAAACACCAATCCAAATTTATTTTTTTTTTTAAAAAGAAGGAATTAAATTTATATGCAAGCTTGGAAGTCAAGAGTTGCTCTAGGTACACATTTTATCACTGTTAGAAGTTTATAAGGGCCAGGGATTTAGCTCAGTGGCACTGTGCCTGCCTTGCAAGCACAAGGTCCTGAGTTCGATCCCCAGTACTGCAAAAAAAAAAAACAAAAACCAAACAAAAAAAAAGAAGTTTACAGTAGGGCCGGAGATGTAGCTCAGCGGCACCTCACCTGCCTGCTAAGTACAAGGTCCTGAGTTTGATTTCTGGTTCCAGATTTAAAAAAAAAAGAAGTTTACAATTAATAAGTACAGGATTCCCCTCTGCCATCTAGCCATTTTCAAGATAGATACAAATTTCCTTTCAAAATGTTAAACAATATCAACAAAAAACTTTAATAATATAACATCTTAAAGATACTTATTTCCACCATCTGCCTTGCAAGCACAAGGTCTCAAGTTCAATCCCCAGTACCAAACAACAACAACAAAAAACAAAAACAAACAAAAGATACTCATATTTCAATATGTGGAAAAAACGTCTAGGGGCTGGGGATGTCGCTCAGTGGCACTGCGCATGCCTGGCAAGGACAAGGTCTTGAGTTTGATCCCCGTGTGGGCGCGGGGGGTGGAGCAGGGGGCCAGTCTAGGGCAGTGGTGGCGAACCTATGGCATGTGTGCTGCAGTGGGCTGTTTGTATCACTGAAAGCTCTAAAAGGTTTGCCATCACTGGTCTAGGGTGTTTAGAGGCTGAAACAGCTTAATGAACTATCACTATTTAAGAACAATCCACAGCCAGGCACGGTGGTGTACTCATGTAACCCTACTACTTTGGGAGGCTTAGGCAGAAGGACTGCAAGATGAAGTCCAGCCTGGACAACTTAGCAAGACCCTGTCTCAAAATAAACAAATAAATAATAAAGGGGCTGGGAATATAGCTCAGTGTGAAAGCCTTGGGTTCAAACCCCAGTACTAAAACAAAACAAGTACATAGGGAGGGGAGGGGTCTTGGGGGGGGATGGGATAAAATTAAACAAAAATTTGTCAAGAAATTTTAGAACAGGACAATTTATGATTCTTTCAGAATAAAATGTTAATTTTGTAGAAGGTAAAGTTTTTCTTTTAAAAAAAAAAAATCTCTGAAAATTCTTCACTGGTCATCAACACTTTGTTTTTGAGTACTGGGGATGGACCTTGCGCTCGTGAGGCAGGCATGGCACCACTGAGCTAAATCCCTGGCCCATCATCAACACTTTCTAGATACTCTATTTTAGTAATAACAGAGAATGGTACCTTCACAAAGTCTTTAATTTCAAAGGGCAGCTTCTTGCAGGAATTCAGAAGCTCTGCTGTTTTAACTTTAATTTCAATCTCTCCTGTTGGCATTTTCTTAAAGAGAAAGAAAGATGTATTCAAAAAATCACTCATCAGGACATGTACACAATGAACATTTGTAATATTCATGTAAACGTGTAGGTGCTTACAGTGTATAGTAAAAGGCATAAATGTACATGATTTTGGCACTCATGCATATCTGTGGCTGATATGTTAAGATATCGAAGTATTACCAGGCATTTGTCAACATCAACAAATGTTTCAGCATGCATACTTATACAGGTGTGTGTTAAGGAATGTGCTGAAATCTGGGGTTCACATGTAGAATTCATGGAGCCTTAGTGCCAAATGTCCCACAGGTGCTCAGTCTACGTCATGTGAATGTGCACACAGACACTGCAATGCACTCAGGTAAAATACGAACTGGATTCTCTTGTCCTGGAGGCCGGGAAATGACTGCCCCAGATATTCGCACCACAGATTCCAGAGGGGCTTCACATAAAATCTTCTTCACGGAGGCAGCTGACTAAAAAACCAGAGGGGGGAAAACAGTTTCAAAAACTGAACATACAGAACCCATCAGTAACTGTCAGTCTATGGTTTAGAAAATGTTAATATTCACAGTTGATTTGCCATAATATTGGCGTTTCCCTCACTGTCTCTAGGGTTAATCTTAGAGGCAGTTAAATCCAATAGCAGTAATAGAGTACAAAGTGAAAAGATGTCTCTAGGATTAGCTATGCTTCTCTCAGGATCCTCATTCTTAAAGGATATTGCATTGTTCTTCTAGCCAAGTGCAGTAACATATGCCTGTAATCCCAGGTCATCTGGGAAGCCAAGGCAGGAAGGGAGTAAATTCTAGGCCAGCCTGGGTGACACAATGAGACTCTGTCTCAAGAAAAAAATGTGTGTGGGGTTGAGGGGATGCAGCTCAGTGGTAGAATGCTTTTGTAGCATGTACTAGGCCCCCATAGTTCAATCCTTAGTGCCACTGAAACAACAAAAACAAACAAAAATTCTGTGTAGTTTTAGTTCACATCTCTATATAAGTGAGGTTGGGTATACTTTCATAGTCTGCAAGCCATTTACATATTTTTAAAAAATTTTATATTCATATTCTGGGCTCATAATTCTGAATCTTTAGTTTGTGTGTATGGTGCTGGGCACTGAACTTGGGGCCTTGCACATGTTAGGCAAGCAAGTGCTCTACCCTGAGCCACACCCTAGCCCACTGGATTTTTTTTTAAGACTTCATCTTGCTGTATAGTCCTGGCCACCCTTGAACTTGTGATGTAGGCCAGGCTGGCCTCAAATTCATGATCCTTCTACCTCAGCCTCCTGTGTGCTGAGATTACAGGCATGTGCCACCATGCCCAGGTATAGTAGCTTTTTAGATATTACAGTAGCTCTTTGTCTATGATATAAGTTGCACAAAATATTTTTTAAGTTTGCCATGCTTTTTGGTTTTTGTTTGTTTGGTTTGGTTTTTTGAGACAGGGTCTCTTGATGTAATTCAGGCTGGCCTTAAACTCACTATGTAGCCCAGGCTGGCCTCAAACTTGCAGTGATCCTCCTGCCTCAGCCTCCTAAGTGCTGGGACTACAGGGATGCACCACCATGCCAGGCAAGTCTGTCATGTTTTAAATGTTGCTTATAGCAGTTCTCACTTTTGTTTTGTTTTATTTTATTTTGCTTTTTTGAGTGCTAGGGATCAATCCCAGGGCCTTGCACATGCTAAGCAAGCACTCTACACTTAGCTACATCCCTAACCCTCAGTTTTTTTGTTTTTTTTTTTTTTGAGACAGGGTCTCTTGATGTAATTCAGGCCGGCCTTGGACTCACTGTGTAGCCCAGGCTGGCCTCAAACTTGCAGTGATCCTCCTGCCTCAGCCTCCCAAGTGCTGGGATGACAGGTATGTGCCACCATGCCTGGCTTGCCCTCAGTTTTTATTAATGATAAACTTCTAAATTTAAAACCTCAAACATACTTATCAAACTACTTAGCTCACTGTAGCCATAGCATGAAAGCAGCTTTTAGGTAGCAATAGGAAACTTATTACCTCATCCTGAGGAATGATAACTTGAACAAGTCCATGGCAATCTCTCAGGACTAAGAACATGTTCTTCCTGATTAATGAAGGAAAAAATGAACATTTTAGGAAAAAAACCTTTGAGCCCAAAATTTAAGCAGACAGAACCAGCAAGTAACAAACAAAAACCCCTTGCAATTTCTCATGTTTCTTTTCTACGAATAATGATGTACTTTCATTAGTACCATCCATGCAATTGTTATCTTTGTTGCCTATTAATGAAAAATAAGTCATTTTTCAATTTGTTTTTATTGGAATTTATATGGCTTACTAATCTACAGATGACTTACTCACAAAAAAGCATATTTAAAAATTTTTAAGAACAATTTTCACTGGGTATGGTGGTCCATGCCTGTAATGTCAGCTCTCAGAAGACTGAGGAGGGAAGACCTCTTGAGCTCAGAAGTTTGAAACCAACCTGAGCAACATAGTGAGTCTCTGCCTCAGAACAAAAACTGAAATAGAAATCCTTAAAATTTTCATTGGGTTAAAACCTCATAAAAACTTTTTATTAAATTTGGAAACTTTCATAAACAAAATCCAAAGATAATATTTTAGGGTATTAGGGACACCTGATTGCTGGGTACAGCGGCACAGGATTGTAATCCCAGCTACTCAGAAGGGTGACATAGGAGGATACCAAGTGTAAGGCCAGCTTAGGTAATTTACGGAGACCCTGTCTCAAAATAAAATTTTTAAAAGGGCTGGGGATGTAGCTCAGCAGTAGAGTTCTTGCCTAGCATGTGCAAGGCCCTAGGTTCAATTCCCAGTACTGCAAAACCAAACCAAAAAGAAACAACTGTTTGTTAACTTTTGAAATACAGAGATAGAAAGATAGAAGGTCTTTTTCTTTAAAAAAAAAAAAAAAGTTATAATCCAAAATTTTCTGTAAGAGTTTCTACTACTAATTTAACAACTCTATAATTAAAAGGTCCTCGAAATGTCAACATTTTAGCATTCAACCTACATTTCTCATATTGTCTTTACTGCCAGAAAAAAGTCCAGAAAGCATCCTCACATTTTGGGCTCAGGTGATTTGGGAAGGTCACACAACCCATGCATTTTGGATCTCTCCAATGTAAATGTAATACTCAGATATGTTCTGGAATACAGATATAAATAACAAAAAGATGGGCTTTGACCTTCAGAAATCACTATTCATCCTTTTTAGGCCTCTTCTTGACTGAAATTTAGAATAAAATAAGCTCTCTCCACCCATGCTATTGGAGCTTCACATTAGGTTTACAGGATGTTTGGGCCATTCCCAATTACTGGTCATTATTACACACCTTAACAAAAAACGTCGCTGGTACTTACACCATTTAGATCTTTCAAAACAACAACAGAACTTGAAATTTAGTAAATTCTGTGTCTCAAAAAAGCTGTGAGGCTTCTTTTCTAACTGGTTAAAAATTAGTAAAGGTTTAGAATGGCTTGGTTAAATAACCACTGGGCACTTTTTTTTTTTTGAGATAGGGCGTTGCTGTATATTCTAGGTTGGCCCTGAACTCACTATGTAGTCTAGGCTGACCTTGAATTTGCAGTGATTCTCCTGCCTCAGCCTCCCAAGTGCTGGGATTACAGGCATGCACCACCACACCTGGCACGCGACATTCTTAAACTGTGTGCTTCAATTTACCTTCGGTATTGAATCCATCCGCATAAGGTGACTTCTTGGCCCAAGTGAGAAGAACGCAACTCTCCACATGTGTTGGTCCGGGCAACAAAGCTACTGAATTCTTAAAAAAGAAAAGAAAAAAGGTTTAAGAGGCAAAATTAAAAAATACTAATTGTAGATTATTTAAAGATTCTCAAATCATAGTTTCTTTAGTGCTTCAGGTCAATGGATGAAATTTATAAAATAAGTCAGAGTATGTAATTTGATTCATTCCGTATTAAATTAACCCACAGATGTGTCAAAAGCCAAGTGAATTTAAAATTCTGCCTTGTGTTAAGAAAATTAAATTTTTTGGATTATTAGCCCTTACATTCACCTAAAATCCGAATCACTCAATTCTAAATATTACACATTCTTTGTCAAATGAAATATGATCTTAGGAATTACAGAAGTAACTATTTCGCTTTAGTACAAATCCAGTGTGTAACAGCTACTTGTACAACTGGACAATTATGAAAGTGTGGAAAGATTTTTTAGGCTATTAGTATCAACTAAATGAAGAATATCCTATGTGGTTACCTTTTTGTAATCTCTTTTAAAAATTAAGGAAAAAACTGCATTGTAAGGAAATGAAGAGAGTGAATGATCTCTTCTATGCATAAGACTATCCGTTAAGACTGGGGGGAAACGACTGTAGAGAAAAGGTGGAAGCTCTACGCTGTTTTCACCTGGAATTTTCCTCTGTGAACTCAGTACTAGATTTCTGGAGAGAGAAACCCAGATGGGCTGAGTGGTCCTTCCGATGGGTCTGGATAAACCCCTGTACAGCTGACTTAACCAAGAAGAGAAGTACATATTGAAGCCCAGGACAGCACGACACAATCACGAATCTTTCGCTGCTGGTGTTGGGACAGTGATCAAAGCTCAGTTTCAGAAATACACAGAAATCCCTTAAAATTCTATTTGCCTCTCTCTACTCCAATATTTAAATATTCGTCCGCAAAACATGAGTACACGTGTCTACAAACGATAAATCTTCGAAATCTTTCGGGCCCTTCAATACATCAGTTCCGACTTCTATTAAACAAGGCTGCGGCAAAAGTGACAAGAACGACCCCACACAGCAGCGCCAGGCCGGAGCCGGTCACCGGCGCACGCTCTTCCCTTCTTTCCTCGCTTTCTCGAAGACTCTGTGGGCAGAACTGGAAAACAGAGACAGTCTCACGTTTGAAATCACCTAGACCGAGCGGCCGAAGTGAAGCTTTCCAACAGAGAGAAGCGAATAAATCCAAAATACTTTCGGGCCCGAAACCATCACCCCTCTACCCGCTCTACGTGAGGCCCTAAAATTACGCTGAAGGCGTTCGACCAATCAAGTGGGATGTGCTGCCGCCATGCTTACTACAGGAGGAAATTCGAGAGAAAGCTTCGCACTGGTACAAAGCCGTAGGGGAATCCCGCGCAATTGGAAATGTCCGTGATGATTAAGACTTGCCCTTAGTTAAAATGGCGAGCTCAGTTGCTTCAGAGACACGAAATTGGCGGGGCCTCTGGGAGGCTTCCTGCGTCGGGCCGCAGAGCGTGTCGGGAAATGGTTTTAAACTGGAGGGCGGTGACGGCTGAGCCGCCGTTTCTCAGCCGCGGGATTTCAGTTGTGTCCTTCATCTCTGAAAGGCTCAGTTGGAGTAGTTAAGACGCGCTGTCTTTTGCCCTTTCCCTGGCGGGCAGAAGCTGGCTTTGCAAGAGCGAGGGGCGCGAAGCTTGGCGGCTAGGTAAGCGGAAATGTCCCTTCGGGTTGAAGTCGTGGCCGTCGCCCCGGTAAACTCACTTCTGGAGCAAGAGGGAGCTGGGGACGGCCTGAGGTTACTCCGGGTTCTCTCAGCTGTCATTTTGGTGGCTTTTTTGTTTGTTTTTCTTTAGGGGATTTCAGTATAGACATAGTTTTGGAGCCAGACTTGAAGGATTATTCGTGAATCCGGAATGGGTGACAGAGTCACCATGGCATTTTATTGGTAAGATACTTTGTATAGATCCAAGACTGGCTGTAAACTTTGCGTTTTGCCATGTTGTGTGGCAGTGATCTTTACAGTACTTGTGTGTGTGACTTGGTTAGCGTTCTGCAAAGCATTGGCATTGGAGCAGTTGGACTCAGGTATTGGTGGCAATGTAGAAAGTGATTACGTTAGGGTTCCTTTTTTCACAGACTAACCAAAAGAGAAACAAATAAGTGATTTTTTTTGTTTGTTTATGTTTTGTTTTTTTGAGACAGGTTCTAGCTATGTAGTCCAGATCTGCCTTGAACTCTGTAGCTCAGGCTGGCCTCCAACTGGTGGAGATCCTCCTGAGTGTTGGGATTACAGGCGTGAGCCACCACGCTTGGCTACAACTAAAGTTTTTTGTTGTTCTGTTCTGTTACGGGTTCAAACTGCCTTTGAACTCACTATGTAGCCCAGGCTGGCCTCAAACTCTTAAGTGATCCTCCTACCTCAGCCTCCTGAATGTTGACATTACAGGTGTGTGCACCGTGCCTGGCTCACAACTATATTTTAATTGTGTGTTATGAACAAACTATAAGTGCAAGAGGAGTTGGGCGGAGAGGTAGCTCTATGGATTCCAGAAAGCTTCTCTTGAGATGAAATCTGCTAAAATGATTAACACTTACTCCTCTGTCTTCCTGTCTATTGACTAGGGAATGCACTAACTAACCTAATAGGTTGTTTGAGGATTGAGACAATATTTGTTAAGAGGCCAGAAGAGTACCTTGAACATGCTAAATGCTCAGTAAATCTTAGCAATTATTGTCCCAAATAAACCTGGAAGAAACAGTCTGTGTAAATGGAACTGATTAAAATAAAATTCCCTTTTAAATAATATGTTTTTAAAGCTGGAATGCTTTAGAGTAGCTGCTATTTACATTGTGGCTGAGGAGAAGTGAAGGAGGTAGTGGCAGGAAGATGCTGACATTTGGCATAAATTGTAATCAAATAGGGATCTTTTCTCAGAATCAAAGTAGAAGTGACAGCTCAGGTAAGCGAGGACACCATTGCTGCTTTGAACAAAAAGAAGAGTTGCTAGGAATCATTGAATCTTTCTACGAAACACAAAGACTGCTCTGATAAATCCAAGGATTGCTTTAAAAATAAAGGGGCTGTCAAGGAGTGAAGTAAGAAAGACTATGGCAGGGATAAAACTCAAAAGAGTGCAGCACTTCCAGAGATAGCAGCACCAGGCTTTGGTCAGCTTAATTTACAGTCAGGGCTCCAGCCCCAGCACAGGCCTGGATAGCAGCTGCAGCTCCCTTCCAGTGTCAGACACTCAGAATTCCAGCTCATCCCACAGCTCTGGCTCCAGCAGCTCCTTTGGCTTTCTGAGTCCTTCTTGGTGTAGACATGACAGGAGGTGCTACTCCTGCTCCTATCTTCAGCCTCCTAAAAGAGATAAAGGGGAAAAAAGAAAGTCCTTACAGTAGGCCCACCAAAGTGTATGGTAGGAGGCTCACCGGGAATTTGACCAAGGATCATATCATGAAGATATTTCATATGTATGGGGGGGCCAGGGATTTAGCTCAGTGGCACCGCACCTGCCTTGCAAGTGCAAGGTCTTGAGTTCGATCCCCAGTTCCACAAAAAAAAAAAAAAAAAAATTAAACATTTTCACCTATGGGAAAACATAAATGATTGACATGTCTATTGAAAGGATGCATCCCCATCTATCTAAAGGCTGCACATATGTGGAGTTTGAGAATCTAGATGAAGCTAGGAAGGCACTGAAGCACATGGAGAAGGAATTAGGAGCAGGAGATCACTGTTATTCCCTGGTCTAGGCCAGGAACACCCCCCACCCTGTGATTCAGCCCCCCTAAGAGAATGCTGCCTCTACTTCCAGTGTGGCACGTCACCCCCACAGATGAGGAAAGATCTTGTTCCCAGGTGCAAGTCCCTTGTGCTGGCCATACTGCTTTCTAGACCACTGTCACTGCAGGAGCCACTCTAGCTCCAGTTCCGACTCCTGATAGGCAGGAGCACTAAAGCTTGCAGCCCTGTGACTTACATCCTTAGAATGGAGCCAAAAAGAAAATTAAAGAGAAGAGGATGAAGGAAGAAGACAGCAGAAGTGGAAGATGATGGAAGATGCTGAGTCTTGGAGGGGGTAATACTGGCCTCAGTTCCTCTTCCTCTGCCTGGATACTGGTTCTAGTTACTGGAGCACAACCAGCATAACTAGCATTGAGAAACTTGCCACCATCAGGGGTGCCAGGACACCAGTCGTGGGAGCTACAGTTGCCAATACAAGCATTTCAGAGAGTAAGTGTCCCAGGGCAAGGAAGGTCAGAGCGTGGTATGATAGACCGTCTTGTTACAGATGTCAGTGGTGCAGAGGCAGCTAATCATTGATGAGAGCAGGGTCCGGATCCCAAAAGTCTGAGCTTCAGGCCATTCACAAGGTTTGGCTTGCCAGTGTGGAGCTTTTCATAGGCAAAGGAGAGGTCTCAGAAGCTTAGAAGCATGTCCGCATGGCTATGATGGACACCATGGCCAACCTGCTTTGTAACACATTCAGGAAATGGCCCATGATGCCTCAAGCCCGACAGGGTGTTTTGCCTGAAGACTGGGCCCCAAGCACCACAGCAGCAGCACCACCAAGCAAGCTCCCCCAGGACAGCTGCAGCCCCCAGCCTGAGTTTACTTTTGAACATACTCTGTTTGAGTACCTAAAATCGAGCAGTAACCAATGAGAAATACAGAATTTGGTGGAAAAAGCAACAAAGGGAAAGGAAAGAAAGAATTCCTTTATGATGAAGAGAGGAATCTGTGAAATTGTTAGCATGAGTTAAGTTTTTAGTGCTTAGAATTGCCTTGTTTTGTTTTAGAAAAAGAAAACAACAACAATGATAAAAATAGATTTTCTTTCTTTTTTTGTAATGTAGAGTATGGATCCTTATATTGCGCCGGGATCGACTCCTAGACAGAGTGCAACCTCAGGTCTTAAAGATTGCTTTATAGGTACCACCCCACTGCAGAAACGATTGGAATCAGTCAGGAAGCAGGTTTCAGTTCTCCCAACCCCACCTCGAAGGAAAATTCCTCAGTGTTCACAATTGCAGGTATGCTTTGGGTTTCCTCAGGTCAGTGAAAAATGAGAATATCTGAAAAAGCACTTCAGTTCCCATTACTATTTATGTATATTTTAACCCCTCAGCTAACAAATTGAGAAAAAGTTAAATAATTTTATACCATCAGCACTACATGTTTAATATCTTTTAATTTTCTTTAATCTGGATTATTTGCACATTATTTCTTTGTCTTTTATAATATTGACACTTTTGAAGAATACATTTTTCTCTTCTCCCCATTTTATTTTTTTAATCTTTTTTTTTTATTAGCACATGTTTGCAGTATATGCATTTCACAGTCATTTTGGGGAGTGGCCACATGTACGTAATACAACTTGCTTCTTTCTTTTTTGTTGGTACCGGGGATCAAACTTGGGATCTTGCGCTTGCAAGCCAGGCGGCAGAACCACTGAGCTAAATCCCCGGCCCTGTTTTTTTCTTTTTAATCCCCGTCCCTATCCCTTTCCCTTTCGCCTTCTAATTTCCCTTTCCCCATTTTCATTCTTACTGATATTATTAATCTTAGCTCATGTTTATGGCATATAATGTTTTCCATTCATTGAGGTTATTAGATTCTGGTACATGGCATATCTGTTTTGTACTTATTTCCACCTCGCTTTCCCTTCCTCCCCTGCTTCCAAGAGATTCATCCCCTTGTCTCCTTCTGTGTATCCTCTATTAATCCCTTTGTTTGTACTTTGCCTTACTCAAATTAAAGATACAGTATTTAAGCCTGTTTGTCCGATTTATTTCACTCAACATATTTTTCAGGTGCAGCCATTTTCTCCTACAGTTGTCTTGAATTTGTCCTTTATAGCCAAGTAGTATTCTATTACATATAGATAACACATTTTCTTTATCCAGTCATCTGCTGATGGGTATACAGGCTGCTTCCAGGATTTAGCTATTATGACTTGTGCTGCTATAAACATTGGTATGCATGTATTGCTGTAATCTGATGTCTTAAGCTCTTTGGGGAAGATACCTGGATATTCTGTTTTGTATTTCTCTAATGTTTCCTCATGGTTAAATACAAGTTACATATTCTTGGTTAGGAGACTACATAAGTGTTGTGTCCTCTGTTGCCTTCATCGTAGCTGTTTTCTCTTGTCATTATTGTATGCATAATACTATTTGGGATAGGAGACAAGTTGCTTTGTGACAGTTTCTTAAATTACTAGTGCTGATAATGAAAATGATATTTCTTAACAAGAAAATAAAGTTTCTTTGTTTTTATTTTTTCCTATTTTTTTGAGACAAGATCTCATTATGTAGTACATGCTGGCCTTGAACTCACTGTGTAGTCCAGACTGGCCTTGAATTGGTGGCGATCCTCCTTCCTCAGCCTCCCACGTGCTGCCATTATAGACATGAACTACCACACTCGGCCTAGAAAACAAATTTTATATAAAGACTGGAATGTCCAATTCAGTGCTTCCTCATCCTTATAATAATTTTGCCATATATTTTGATAATTATAAGAAAAACATGTATAACTTTCAGTGAAGGCTCTAGTTAGAATATTTTTCTCAAGTAGACAACTGTAGTGAAAGTCAAAAGATAGTTGAAGTTGTAAGACTATGTCAGAAAGCATGGAGTCTAGAAAATTCAGGAGGAAACTAAAAGCTTATTTGGTGCACATATGAAAATCCTGAACAGTGCAAGGGAGCCAATACAAATAAAAGTGTTTTTGATGGTAATTTAGCACAACAAAAAATACTCCCAACTATCTTTTATTTAATCTATTGAAGTAAGCATTATGAATTTGTTACCAAATAATTTTTTTGTTTTGTTCTGTGACAGTACTGGGAATTTGAGCCTAGGGCAACATCTCCAGCTCTTTTTATTTATTTAGTAGCTGGTGTTACTGGTGTGTGCCACCATGCCCAGTGCTGCCAAACTTTAAAAAAAATTACTTAAAGCTAATCAAACTAGGTACTTCAGAAAGAGTTACTATTTTCAAATTTCAAATCTATAATTTGAATTTTCTTTTTTCTTTTTGGTACCAGGGATTAATCTCGGCACCTTGCGGTTGTGAGGCAGGTGGAGGCACAACTGAGCTAAATCCCCAGCCCTGAAGTTTCTTAAAGTAGAACATAAGTGTTCATCAATTATTTTGAAAACCTATTATAAATGATATTATCCCAAGTACTAGAGTGAACAAAATAGACAATCACACTTCATTAAGCTCATTCTCTAGCAGGGAAGACAGATAATAAAAATCAGACAAAAATATATGTCAAGTGGCAGTAAGTGCTGTGAAGAAAAATAAAGCAGGGTCAAGAGATACAGAATGGCCAGTTGGAATGGGTGCAGGTACTGCTTACTTCAGATGGGGTGGCCTCTTGGGTGATGTTTAGGTGGAGACCTGAGTGAAGTAAAGGAATATTCTGTATGAATGACCATGGGAAATGCATTATAGAAGGGAACATTCGGCAGACACAGGGCCTTTTTCAAGGATCTGCAAAAAGTTCTGCGAACTCTATTTTGAGACGATCTTTGCAGTGCAAAGATCAGGTACCTAGTAATAGATTTGTATTAAATATTTAAAATGCTATAGTCAGTTCTTCCTAATGGTTCTTCTTGTTTTCTTTCAAAATTTTTTTGTTTTTCTGTTTCTTTTTTTGCTTATTGTTCTTTTTTTCTTCATTCATTATTTTGTTTCTTAATTTTTAAACTTCTTTTGTCTTGATTTTGTTTTTTTGTTTGTTTAGGAAGATGTTGATCCTCAGAAAGTTGCATTCCTTCTGCATAAACAATGGACTTTATATAGCTTAACTCCCCTGTATAAGTTCTCCTATACTAATCTCAAAGAGTATTCAAGACTTCTGAGTGCATTTATTGCCGCTGAGAAGCAAAAAGGACTTGCCGTGGAAGTGGGAGAAGACTTCAATATCAAAGTGATTTTCTCTACTCTCGTAGGAATAAAAGGAACACAAAGGGATCCTGAAGCATTTCTCGTCCAGGTATTATTTATAAGCAACACTTGCTTCTTAGGGGAAAGGACCTGCATTTCTTTGCTTTGGAAATTGTGGGTTCTTTTCTTACTGCTTTTTAAATTCCTAAGTTAGTGATTTTGAACCTATTTTATGTTTGTTTGACCAAACATAAATAATAATTAGATATGACCATCTTAAAAAATATATTTCTACATTTATAGGAAATTGTGTGTGTAAAATCATGTTGATTTTAGGAAACATAGAAAATACATAAAAGGCAAAGAAAATTAGAAATCACAGTTAAGCCAGGTGTGGTGCCACAGGCCTGTAATCCCAGCACTCAGGAGGTTGAGGCAGGAGGATGACTGTGTGTTTGAGGCCAGCCTGGGCTACATAGTGAGCTGAAGACTAGCCTGAACTACATAGTGAGACCGTCTCAAAAAAAAAAAAAAAAAGTCACAGTTAAAATTTTGGTATGCATCTATTTGGTTATCAGAATCTGTGTAGTCTTGAAATGGGGATGATGCTGGCCCTACTTTTCATTATGACATATTTTATTAGTCAATATTATAGATAGTTACTCATTTTTGTAGCTATATCTAATCTTATGTTCTTTACTTGGGTTTAATTTCTAGAAGCATTCTTTAGTAAAAAAAAAAGTAACGTTTCATAGTGGGATACATCATGCCATGTTACTCTCAGAAATGTAATATTTTGTTTTCCGTCCTATAAGTAGTGTATAAAAGGAATGAGTATCTTGCTCTTTTAAGAAACCAGATTTAATCACTTCTTGGCCTTTTGGCTAAGATCAAGTGTAAGAAACCAGATTTATTTTTTCATAATAAAATAATGAGTTTCTTCTAAGTTAACTAATCTCTCTTTCTCTTTCTTTTCTTGTGTGTGGTATTGGAACTTGAACCCATGGTCCCAGTAGTTTTTATTTTTTTATCTTGAAACAGTTTTCCTAAGTTCCCCAGGCTGATCTTGAACTTGGAGTTTCCTGCCTCACCTTCCCAAGTAGCTGGGATTACAAGCATTGCTACTGTGCCTGTCTAAGTTAACTAATTTTATTT